GAAGAAGGATGGAGGATGGGGGAGGAGGAGGAGGAGGAGGAGGAGGAGGAGGGATGATGGAGGATGGAGGATGGCCGAGAGGATAAGGAGGAGGAGGAGGACTACGAGAAAGAGAGGGGGGCACGAGGAGGAGAGCAGCAGCAGCAGCAGGACAAAGGGCGAGGGGGAAATTGTCGGAGGCAACCAAACCAGAGGGATGGTGAGACTCCGACCCCCCCCCCATCCAGATTCGGACGAGACAGGAAGACAGGAGGGGAGACGGCCCCTGCGGCCGTTGCGGCTCGGGCCGCTCTGGCTCCAGGCTGGTTCCAGGCCGCCGCCGGCAGAACAGGCTCCGGCCTTGGCCCGGCTGCCCCCTCCCCCATGTGCACCGCTGGAGTGGCCCAATGAGTGCTCCCGCTGACGCTGGCCCAGCCGGCCTGGACCCAGACTGCATCAGCCGGAAGAGCGACAGGCGACGGAGCCTTGCGGTCGGGAGCTTGGGCTCGCCGTGTCGCTCTGCCGACTCTGGCCCACCACGCTTCCGTACGACACGCCATCCTCTTCCCGGTCCCCGGGCGCCCACGTTCCGAGCACATCCCAGCTTCCCGCCCCGGAGAGCGGAGCGACGCGCTATCCGCTCGCACGGCGCAGCGTGTCGCCAGGGCCGCCGCCGCGACACGCCATGCAAGAAGTCCCGGCCGTGAGCTCTCGGGTGTCCGCGTGGGCTGCTCGGGTTAGCACTGGGTCCCCCTCCCTGCACCCTCGGCGGCGCCTCCAGCGCCGCCCCCGACGCGCGGAGCGCGCGCCAGAGAGGGGTTCTCTCGGGCCCAGAAGGAGGTTTCCAGGGCCCGAGAAGAGCATTTTTTTTTTGACCCCCACCATTCATCGCCCCCCACCTGCCTCGCGCCCAGGCAGGGGAGGGTGTGGGGGGGGGGGGAGGGGGGGCGCTGGGCCGACCCAGGGAGGCGTCTGCGCTGGCCTGCGAGAGCACATGCGGTAACGGCAGGCTCGCGGCGTGTCGATCGGCGGCGACCCCGCCGCGGGCCTCCAACGTTGACCGCCGCCAGTGGCCCAGAATCAGCCTACGTGGAACGATCGGGCGATCGAAAAGCCGCCGATCGTTTCAGGTTGAACCATCCACGCCGTGTCAGAAACCAACGCGGGGGTCGTCACGACACGAACCTGCTGCATGTCTCTGCCGCACCTGTCCGTCTTCTGCAAGCCACGCCCTCGCCCTGGACCCTGGCGGCCGGCTCCCCGACGAGCACGTGGGCTTCGAGTGCGAGGCTCGACTGCACGTAAGAGTGGCCCTTCGCCGGAGTGACCTTTGGTGCGGGCTCATTTGGATCCCCCCGATCGTTGAACGCGATGCGATAGCGGTTGCTTGCGCGCTTGGATTTGGCCACCTTGCATCCCCTTCGTCCGCGCACCAAAGGTCACTCTTGCCCAGGGTCACTCTTGCGTGTAGCCGAGAGGTGGTCCCTCCCTACGGGCGGTGCTCGGCGACGCGGCGGTGGATCGAGGTGCACCCCGACCACGAGCACGCGGGCTGCCTCATGGACCTCGCGAGGCAGGAGGTCAAGGTCTTCTGGCACGATGGCCGCGACGACGACCTGCTGCAGTCGGTGGACCTGATGCGGGAGTGCGCGAGCAGGTCGAAGAGAGAAGAGCGGCATAAACATCATTTTTCGGAGGTCCGCGCGGAGTTCTCAGATCGGCGCTGGATCCCCCTCCCTGGCGCGCGGAGCGCGCCAGCGGCTGCGCCGGAGGCGCCGCCAGGGGCGGATCCAAGGGCCGACCCATGGAGTCCGCGCGGATCTCCGACAGTAGCTGTGTTTGTACCATTTTTCCCTCTGCTTGCAGGGGCGGGCGCTTGTTCTGGCTCGTCACCTTCATGATCAAGGCCTGGACCGTGGGCAGGGTCCTCCCCGGCGACGTGGAGAAGGTGGACCTGGCCTGCGTCCCGGCCTCCTGCGGCAGGGACGCTGTGGCCGCCTGGGTCTCCGGCGTCGCCCAGATCCAGGCGCCGAAGAAGAAAAGACAGCACACGGTAGGTTCGCGTCGTGTCGATTGGCGATGACCCCGCCGCCAGCGTTCAACGTTGAACGCCGCTGGCGACCCAGAATCGGTTGATGTTGATTGATCTGACGTTTCTGAAACGGCCGAGCGTTCAAGTTTGAACGATCCCCGCGGTGTCAGAAACCAACGCCGGGGTCGTCACGACACGAACCTGTCGTAAACCTAGAAATGGTGCGAGCTCCGCGCAGATTTCGTGGATCGGCGCTGGGAGCCCTGGCGGCGCCTCAGGCGCCTCCCGCCACGGAGGGGGTCCAGCGCCGATACAAGAGGTTCCCGCGGAGCTCCGAAAGTTTTTATGCGTGTGCAGTTTTGTTATTCTTCTGAGGAGGGGGGAGCGCTCACATCCGTGCGAAACTTGGCCAACCGCGGCCAGCTCGCAGGCGCGTGCCGCCGCGGCTATCTGCGGATGCCCTGGCGCGGCGCCTGGGCCGTGACCAACCACAAGGTGCGGGCCATGTTCGGCCGCACGGCGCGGAAGCTCTACCGGGTGATGTACGTCAGCAAGAGCACCGGGGAGGCCTTCACTCAGGGCGTGCTCGTCGACGAGCAGCGCCTGCCAGATGCCCTGCCCGCGCCGCTCGGCGGTCGACTAGACGCAAGAGTGATCTTTCGCCAGCGTGACCTTTGGTGCGGGCCAAATGGGGCCCCCCGATAGCCGAACGCGATGCGGTGGCAGCGTCTTGCGCGCTTGTGTTTGGTCCCCCCGCGGCCCCCAAAAAGCCGCGCACCACAGGCCACTCTTACCCAGGGTCACTCTTGCGTGTGGCCGAGGCGGGCGCCGCTGGGGGGAGCCGGCAGCTGGCCGGCCCGCGGCGGACGGCGCCGAGGCGGCGGCCCCCAGCGTCGCCGTGCTGTTCGCGGGGTCCTGGCGGTTCAGCCGGCGGGGGGGGCAGGCAGAAGACCCGCCGAGCGGCAGGAGCGCCGCCTCTCTATCCGCCGTGGTCCGCGCGGGCTCCTCGGGGCCGGCGCTGGGCCACCCTGCCCGCGCCCCCGTGGGCCGCGCCGCGATCCCGCGCGCCGGTGCTGGTCAGGGGCAACGCCAGGGGGGAGGGGGGGGGGGGGGCGACGCACCGACCCCCCCCGCTCAGTTCTCGCCGGCAGGGGCCCGCTGGCCCCAATCTGCCCAGGAGCATGTGGATTCGCGATCGGGGGCCGACCTATCGGCGATGTACCGCCGATCCAGGCTCGATGTTTCCCCCCCCCTTGTCGCTGCCCCTCAGATGGGGGTGCGAGGAGGAGGGGCCCAGCACCGTCTCGGGAGATCCGCGCGGGCGCCCGAGAATCTGCGCCTCTGTCGCTCTGGGGGGTGTTCTGGCGGAGCATCCGCCGCCACCTGGTCGACGCGCTCGGGGCGGACGTCTTCGCAGTCGTGAGCGGCGGCCCGCGCCACCAAGACTCCCTGGGCCTCGCGGAGGAGGCGGAGTTGCGGGAGGCCTTGGGCCCCGCGCTGAGAGGCTTCCGCTGGACGTCGGACGCCAGCGAGCCCCACCTGAGGCGGCACCTCGCCGCGTCCGACAGGCTGGACGTCTACGCCGCCCTGGGCGGCTGGGCCCTCACGCCCACCCCGATGATGCTCAGGGCGTGGGTTGGCCCACGTGAGTATGTGTGCGTGTGCTTACCCACTCACTTTCGGCTGAGTCTCCTCTTGCACACCACCCACTGTTTGCACTTTACAGTGTGCGACGTCTCGTACACTGTGCCTTCGACAACGCTCGATCGCAATTGGCACTTCCACCTGCTGCCCGAGCTTGAGGACCTTCTGCGCCGCCGACTTAAAAGTGTGTTTACCCACACTGAGGTGTACGTGGGTCCTCTCTGGCATTTTCGCGAATGGGTCCCCCACACGGTTCTGCATGGTTTCGGCATTGTCCACGTGCATTCGGTTTGTGTCTTTCTTACTGCACGCGTCAGCCAAGTCCTGACCACCCGTCTGCAACGATGGGTGTTGATTAGCTTGTTACATGTCATGGAGGAAAATCTTGGGGGGGCTTGTCCAAGGGGGACTGTCCGGGGAGGTGTCTGGGTCCTTGCGGCGTTGTCCAAGGGGTTGTCCAAAGGGTGTCGTCGCCTTCACGCTGGCCACATCCCTGATCATTGGGCGTGGTGCTCTTGCATCAGCGCCAGCCACATCCCTAAGTGGGAATTGTGTTGACGCTCGAGCGCCAGCCACAATCACATGCTGGGACGCTTATGGTATGCATCTTGGAGGGGTTGTCTGGGGGGTTGTCCGGGGAGGTTTTTGGACTGGATTTGTTTTCCATTGAACCTCGTAGGCGTGTCCCGCCCCAGATTTCGTCGCGTTGATTCTGCCAGCTCCCGACGAAAAAATGTAACCACCCCGGCTCCGCCAACATAGCGCGGAGCCTGTGTCGGCCAGCATGGACTACACCGTCCGCATCGTACTGGAGGGCTGCGGCTTACGACGCTCAAGCCTGCCCTAGGTCGGCAATTCACAATTCATTTCGCGCCCCAGGGGCGGGCATCGCAATGGTGAGTGGGAGGTCGTCCAGAGGGCGCTGTGCGCCCCAGCAGGGCAGAGACACGCGGAGCTAGGTTCCCGAAATTCTCCTGGGGACGCATTCGTGAAGTATGCCTGGAGCAGGAGAAGCTTCGGTGGACGGACACACGTTGGCGCTGACTCGCGTCCTGAGCACCATCGTCCATCAGCAGCTACGTCGGCGGGGCGCTGCACGCGCTCAGGAAGCTGCGGGCCGCCCTGCGGCTCGCCGAGCGGCACGAGGTGGCCCGGGGCAGCAGCTACGGCTGGCTCGTCTTCAGCCGCACGGACCTGATCTGGGACGCCGACCACCCACCAATCGGGCTGCTCGCTCCAGAGGCCGTCTGGACCATGGGCAACCCGTTCAAGACTGGGGATTGGCACGCGGTGGTGCTCAGAGGGGGAAAAGCAAGGATGTTCGCGGTTCGGTTGGTCCAGTTCGGGCGCTTATTGTAACGATTCCGCGTCGTTGCGATTTTCTGGACTGCTTGCGGCCTGCCGATGCCGGTCGGTTTCGGTGTCGCTGTCGGTTCGATCGGTTTTCGATGCTGTTGTCGCCGTGGACGGCCCTGACAAGGTACCCACACCGCCACCCAAGTTTCATTCTCGTCTGTTTGGTCTTCGAGGGAGGCCTTCGTCGCCACGGCTGGATTCGCCTGGAAGTTCTGGTCAGAACGCACCCTGGGAGAGGCCCGGGGAGCAGCAGCATCGGCACCGCTTGGTTCCCCCCAGGTGCCACGCCCGCTCGCGCCGGCCTACTTTGAGCGGTGGAGCTTGCTGAGGAACGGCACGGCGCCCATCGTGCCGAACCACAACCCTATCGGCCTGGCCCTGAGCACCCTGCACGCCTACGGCGTGGAGGTGGCCTGCTTCCCCCAGGTGGCCAGCCTGCAGGGCTGCGTCGACTGGGACTGCTACGGCAACGCGGGCCCAGGGGAGCGCTCGGGTCTCTGGCGGCACCGCGCGGAGCGCTCGCTGGTGGCCCGCATCGCCCCAGGCCTCCGCCTTGGCCGGCTGGCGTGGGCACGGGCGCCGCCAGACAAGCGTTCGAGGGCGGCACGGCTAAGCGGGCGGATCCGGGGCGTGCTGGCAGAGTGCACCACCAGGCTGACGCTGCACGCCGTGCGGAGGGCAGGGAACGCCAGCATCGCAAAAGTTCGCCGCTCCCTCACGTCCCTGCCAGTTGCCCCTCCTCTCTTCTATCCTGCATCCTCTCCCCGATCTTCATCCACCTCCTCCTCATCATCCTCGTCCTCCTCCTCCCTCATCCTCATCATCAGCATCAGCATCATCATCATCATCAGCGACAGCAGTAGCAGCATCAGCATCGTCATCATCATAACCAGAATCATCGTCCTCATCATCATGTTCTTCATCAGCAGCATCAGCATCATCATCATCATCATCATCATCATCAGCATCATCGTCATCATCAGCATCAGCATCAGCATCAGCATCATCATCATCATCGTCGTCGTCGTCGTCATCGTCGTCATCATCATCAGCATCATCATCATCAGCATCATCATCCTCTGCAACAGCATCAGCATCAGTATCAGCATCATCATCCTTCTCCTCCTCCTCCTCCTCCTCCTCCACCTCTTTCTCCTCCTCATCCGTCCCTGGTTATCCTCCGCTTCCTCCTCCCTCATCCCTCCTTACCCTCCCCTTTCTCCTCCATCCCTCCCCTCCCTCCTCCTGGCCTCCCTCCCCCGCCCCTCCCTCACTCCCTCCCAAGCCTCGCGTGGCTGGGCTGGGTGGAGCTGGGAGGGTCGGGTCTGGGCTGGACAGGGCGAGTCGCAGAGCAACGTCCAGGGAAGATCGGGCATCTGTGATTTTTTGGGCTCGGGGTGTCATCCTCTCTCCCTCTGTCCCGTTGCCTCTCACGTATGTCGTGTCGCCGTGCGTTGGCGAGGGATGGAGTCGGGATCGGGCGAGGAGTCCTGCCGGAGGGCCGCGCTCGCCCCCTCCCAAGGAGGACCCCCCCTCTCTGCGTTTGCCCTCCAGGTTGTCACGTGCCGATCCCAATTGGGAGGCCGTGGCGTACGAGGCGGAGTTGGGCATGTTTCTGCTATGGACTTCCTGCCCCCTCCCTCCCGCCCCGCGCCCATTCTCGAGTGGGCACGCCTCTCCCTGGGTCGGCTTTGCTGAGCTGCTTTCGGGCGCCCACTCGGCCCCGCAGCTCCCAGCTAAAGACGCTGCACCCGCAGCCCAGACATGCCACCTCGCTGGGAGGGCCTCCATCCATCCATCCTCCATCCATCCATCCATCCATCCTTCCCCTCTTTCCCCCCTCCCTCCCTCCCCTTCCGTTCTCATCTTCCTCATTCCTCTGGCAGCCAGCTTGTCTCGGCCACTGCCAGTGCAGGAGCACCCGAAGGCGTAGCGGACCTGACCTCTCCTAGGACCCCCCATAAACTCGAGCTCGTGGGAATCACCTTCCCCACAGGGCTCTCGACCACATCCTGGGGGCCAGCTTCTTATCCCGCTTCGTGCTATCCGAGGCCTTCCGGCCGCCCTCTTCTGTCTCCCAATTCGTGCTATCCGAGGCCTTTCGCTCGCCCAACAGTGCCCCCGCTTGGGCTGCGGACGCGGCGCGCCGCTCGCCACCGATGTGACCAGAAGTTCTCCGAGGCCCAGAGATGGACCGCCGAAGAGGGCGAGCGGGGGTCGATGCACACACCCCCAGCCGATGCCCGTCCCCGTCGATTTCTGGGCCACGGCTCGGGCCCCGGGCGGCCCTTCGGGCGATCCGGGCACCCCCGGAACGCTCTCGACGAGGCGCAGCTGCATCCCGAGGCTGGAAAAACGCCGAGAACCAACAACAGCGTCGGAAAACATCGAACGTCGAACCTCGAACCCGAAACGCCCAGGCGCAGCTGCTGGAGAGCATCCCGAGGACCGGAGAGCTGCCGAAAACCGACGGAGACGCTTGAAAACCTCGAGCCCTACCTCGAACACCTCCGCTGCCAGCGCCATACACCTTATGCGATGCTTAAGAAAACTTAATTTTTCGGCCAGGGTTTCGATTATTCTTAATATTTCAATGTAAATCCTAAGATGTTAATAGAAATGTTGGGTTTTTGATTCAAGTTCTGAGACTATGAATTTCTTAACCCATGATTTCTTAAGCATTTCGCAGGGTGTACTTCTTCGGGCCCTGGAGGTCTGCTTCGCTCCGTTCGTCCGCTCGAGCTCCGAAAATCAGCCCCTGGGCGCCATCCCGTGCAGTCTTTCGGCTTGAGTTTGGCCGTGGCCGCGGGAGCGCCCTGCGAGGCCCTCGGCGCCAAAAAGGGCAGAAAGCGTCCGACTCCTCCTGCTCGTCCTCCTCCTCCTCCTCCTCCTCCTCCTCCCCTCCTCCCCCTCCTCCTCCTCCTCCTCCTCCTCCTCCTCCTCCTCTTCCTCCTCCTCTTCCTCCTCCTCTCTCCTCCTCCTCCCCCTGCCCGACCTTTCTCCTCTCCATCCCCTTCATCATCATCACCCCTCTTCCTGTCCTTCCTCCCTCTCCGCTTTCCTCCCCCGTCTCTCTCCTCGCACACCCTCTCTCTCCTCGCCCTCCCCCTCCCCCTCCCTCCCCGCCTACCTCCGAGCCCTGCCTTCGGTGGGAAGGGGGCGGTGCCGCGGCGCCGCGGCGCCATGTTGTGCGTGAAAGCCCTCTGCGGGCGCCTCCGCCGCAGGCGGAAGCCTCTCGCTGCGACCGCTGGCCCGGTCCTCCCCCCCCCTTCCGCTGCTCCATCCTTCTGTCCCCCTTTTCATCTCCCTTCAGATTCTCCCTCTCCTCCTCCTCCTCATCTTCATCCTCATCATCATCCTCATCATCATCAGCAGCAGAATCATCGTCATCGTCATCATCAGCAGCAGCAGCGGAACCATCATCATCCTCATCGTCGTCGTCGGCATAATCGTTATCAGCATCAGCATCAGCATCAGCATCATCATAATAATAGTCATCATCAGAATCGGAATCATACTCGTCGCCGTCGTCCTAATCTTCTTCACAATCAGCAGTCGCATCATCAGCATCGTCATCGTCATAGAAATCATCAGCAGCAGTATCGTGATCATCATCCTCATCAGCATCATCACCATCATCATCACCACCCTCACCATAAGCATCATCACCAGCAGCATTCCTCTTTGTTCCTCTTCTCCTCCGCTCTTCCTATCCTCCTCTTCCTTGCCTCATCATCCGAACCCTAATCCCCTATTCATATCCCGTGCATTCGACTTTCTCTACCCATTCCACGTTGGCTCATGTGATTTGTCTTCGGAGGTGGAGACCAGAGTCCATCAGCGTCCCGTTCATTCCAACTTTCTGCACTGTACAGTCCGCCTCGCTTGACTTTCATTGTGTCGGTATCCGCTCCCTAGTGATGACTGGTGTGGATGGGTTACTTCCAGGCGTGACCGTGGGTGGGCTACTTCCAGGCACGACCAGGAACGATGACCCCATGGGCGCAAATTTGTTCGATTACGATCTTGGGGATGGCCTTCCAGATCGTCAGCGTACAGGTGCCTCCCTCTTTGACGTCGCCGCCTCCGCCCAGCGCCACGCCCAGGAAGCAGGCTTCGATGCAGGCCAAACCGTGAACCTACAAGCTATAGGCGGCATGTTGACGGGTTCGGTTAACGCCACAAGGACCTGATTCGCGCCATTCATACTGATACAACCACGGTCAACACATCGTTACGCTCGATGGAGGCCAAGCAGGACGATTTCGAAAGGCCTTAGAGACTAACGGTATCCCTCGTGGTGGCGGCAACACAGCCCCCAATTCGAGAGGTTCGCCCCCTCCGTCGGCAACATTGACGGCGGTTCTCTCTTCAGCTTCGACGGTGGCATTCGTTCCCATGGGAAGAGCAAAAGCTATATGTGCAGGAAGTTTCCAGTACAAGTCTGGGGAGTTGCTGGTGGCCCATATCAGATAAGACTTGGAGGTCGAACGTAAAACCTATGATAAGGTGTTCCTGCCGGGGGCCTACTGCGAGCACGTCAAGATTCAAGTACCGATTTCAGCCTAGATATGGACCTGCCTCAAAACGATGAGAGGCAGAAATTTCAACGGTGGCACTGAATTCTTGTGATCGACAGGCACTGTGGCACGACATCGATCAGCTCGGTTGAGAGATAGGCGTGCCGAAGCAGCAGGTGACGGCTGTCTCCATTCTCGCACCCTTCCTGGCATCTCACTTCCAGCAGCACCCTGACCACGTCTGCAACGCAAGCTTCGACATCAAGAATGACCGCGGCAAGGCCATCTTCCTTCCGACGCGACTCCTGGGCAACGCTCACATAATTAGCCCCAGCAAGCTCTTCGATTGCGACAGGATGATTCACAAGATGATGATTCCCGCCATTGCGAGTACCCTGCCCAAGTACAGTTGGCTGGAGGTCAGCCTGAACGCCCACTTGCCGGAAGTCCAGGCAGCTGAAGACCTCAGAGACAGAGCCTCTCGAGCGATGAGGAGGTGGCGAAAGAGACGCATGCTGGACCACCCCTGTATCGTTAGCTGGAATGCGAGGACTGTGTCATTGAAGGGGTTGCCACAGTTCCTTAGGGATCCCGAGGAAGGATCCCCTTGGCGCGCTGCTCTTGTTTACAAAAACGCACTGCGCTGCGCCACTCCGAGCCTCCACAGCGCATATCGATGGACACCGCGTTATTGCCGTTCCCCAAGGGACAAGCAGAATGCGATCACTGTCCACCGAGAGTTCGGCCGGGAGGCCTAAAGCGTGGAGATAAGCCCCCGCTGCGCGGGCGCAGTCTGCAGCCATGCTGAATTCGGCCGTGCCCTGGTGGGTTCGGCCCACCTCTGCCTTTCGAAAGATAGGAAACTGCTGCTGGGGGGCCTCAGCGAGATTCAAAAACATGCCCTCACAGCCCGGATCGAAGCCAAGTAGGTTCCCAGAGAAGACGCCGACGTAGATCTCGGCTCGACTTCCGACTCCGACCTCGATTTTGCCCACATCGGCCCATGCGCCGGCCGCCCCCCGCCCCCCACGAACCCCATCGCTTGGCCCGTCTCGCGCGGAAGACCAGAGAGCTGAACGGCATTGCGACCGAGCCGTAGCTCCGGGCCGAGAATATACAGAACTGGCGCTGGCGCGGCCCCCACAACCACTTCCCCGACCCTCGTCAAAGACGGGCCCCCAAGCAGACAGACTACGCACTGGGCCGCAACGGCCCCGCTGATCGCCTTTCGCGCATGGTCGAGTTCTCATGTGCGACCACTTCGAAGCACGTTCCTTTCAAACTCCAGTTTCTCGTGCGAGGCCCCGACAGTGACTTGGCCGAAGCAGCGACTCGACCCCTCTCCAACCTGAACCGCCTAACTGACATTGCGACGACAATGCTGCCCATCGAACGCCATCGGCGATTCCCCCGTCGTCAATCGCGTGACGCGCGGATTCCTTAGTGATGAAGAGGCTCGCGGTTTGCTCTTGGGCGGTTCGTTCTACGATCGCGCGCCTCGATGTCGCAAGCGCCCTCGGGTGCGTACTTTATGATGCGATGGGCGGAGCTTAGCATTATTTCCAACAGCTTGTCCGACGGCGGGACCGTCGCCGATTGCTTCCGCGCGCGGGCCGGCGCGCACAGGCCTGGGCGACCCAATTTCGAAGGCGCCGCCTGTGAGTCGAACAATGCGCCTGAGCTCACTGCCCCGATCAGGGCTGGTCTGCGGCTGTTTCTCCAGGAGCCACTCCCTCTCAATTCCGGAAGTACCCCGCCTTTGGTTAATATTAAGTTCATCTTCGAGTCCCACAACGTCCGACGCACACTGCGGGGGAGCTGGCGCGCCCGCACAAAGTCGGGCACAGTTGCCGCGGTGCTCGAAATCTGGCGCAAGATTTGCAGGCGCCACCAGGTCCGTCGACCGGAGCGGCGCAAAGGTCACTTCAGGGATCCGGGCAACACGGCAACGGGCCTCTTGGCCAAGGCGGGCGCGGACTCCAAGTTGCATCGCCCGACGCGCATCACCGCCCGAAAGTCTGGAATGCTCGATTGGCCGCGAGAGACTTGGAAGGCGCTCCTGGATTCCTGGACGGCCCCACCTGGGGAAGCATCGGCATGGCCAGTCCTTCCATGCCTCGCGCGCCCGCTCGACGATGCGCCCCCCGCCCCGCGCGCCCCGCCCCATCCGCCAACGACCCAGGCACAGCCCTAGACCGCACATGTCAGTTAGCTCTTGGGATGCGGGAGAGACGCGCAGGGGGAAAGGGGGAGGGCCTCAAGCGCTGTTCTGGCTCGACCAGCAGCGCGGGCGCAGGCGCGATGCCCTGGGCCCCGGGCGACCGCGCCTTCGCCCGGATCGCGGGCGGCGGCGGCGGGGGGCGCCAGGCCGCAAACGTAGGCGGGTTCATCGCGGAGGTCCACGAGGGCCAGCGGGTCTCGCTGGCTGCGCCTGCGCTGGCGGCTCGAGCTGCGCGCGGAGCAGCACGCGAGGTGAGCGTTGCTGACCAGGGCGGCTTGCCCGCGCAGGCGGGCTTCGCGGCGGTGCCTACGAGGCGGCTGCGCACGGAGGCCCCCGAGGCATGGGACGACGATTACACGGACCTTTGGAGCGAAGCTGTTCGATACCAAGCCCCTGCAGGCCGCGCTCGCGTCGCTCGGCGGAGGCCTCCGCACGTCGACAAAGGATGCGGAGGCGACGGCGGCGCCGCTGGCGCACGGAGCGCCCGCCGCGGGCCAGGCAGCAGGGCCTGGCGGGCCACCCGCGGGCACCTTGCCAGCGGCAGGCAGCGCAGGCCTGCCTGGGCTGGACCGCTTGGCGGCGAGGGCCGCGCGGAGGCAGAGGCAGGCGGCGCCGCGGGCCGACGGCAGCAGCTCCTCGGGCCCCGAGGGTGAGCAGCGCCCCGCGCGCGCGGCGCCCCAGCGGGCGCAGGCGCAGCGGCGGGCGGGCGGCGGCGCCGACCGCAGGCGCCAGTTCACCAGCAGCGACGAGGAGGAGGACTTCAGGTCGGCGGCGGGCAGTCGCAGCGCGCCAGAGGCTGGCGCGGCAGCGGCGGCAGCGGCCAACCTGGATGCGCGCGGCCAGCAGAGCCTGCTGCAGCCGCGGATGCTGGAGGTGCCCGAGAGACTCAAGTCGGGCAAGAAGGCGGGCGCCCTCGGGCGACGAGGAGGACGGCGTCGGCGGGCTCGGCAGCGCATGGAAGGCCGGCAAGGCGGTGAGAGATATGCGTCGCCTACGCCAGCGCGCGCAGCCGCATCCTCTCCGCGTGGTGAAGGCCTACCGGAGCGAGGTGAAGCGGGCCATGGGGGGCAGCATGAGATGGCGCGGACATTTCTCGACTACGGAAAGCGACACATCCCCTGGGGCCGCCTCTACGACTTGAAGAAGACGTTCGCCATGCTGGTTGCCGTGCTGGAGTATATGGACAGCGACAAGTTCGACGAAGCGCACGGCCAGCTCGTCGAGATCACGAAGGCGCTCGAGCAGGTGGCAATCAACCAGGGCTCGCGCAAGGCGGCCTGGCCTCTGTCAGGCCTGGTGGACCCCCACGGAGGCCGCGGCTGCCTACATCGCGGAGCTCGAGGCGCTGGAGTCGAAGATCAAGCAGCAGGGCGGCCTGGTGGCCAGCCCAGAGGACTCAGACCACGGCCAGGGAGCCGACGCGGGAGCGGGCGCGACCGAGGCGCCCAACAAGAACAGGCACAAGAAGAGGTCCAAGAAGGAG